TTTAAAATCTAATTACTGTATTTTATCAGTCCATAATAACAAATTCCCCTATATTCCTGCATCACAAATGAAGATTGAGAGGCACAGGCTGGGGATGTACAACTGAGAACTTAACAATTTCATCCTGACTGAAAATTGTAGTATTTGCAAGAAAATATGGAAATTTTCCTCCTCCAATGCTGTTAAAAGCTCGAATATGTAGGATAAGTCTTCACGATGCACACTATCAAAATACATCAGCACAGAGCTTTGTGAAGATTGTTCAAGTGGTTTCATAAATCCTCTTTATGAAGACATGAAAAATGTGTGAATATTTTTTTTGCAGGTGTTTCCATGAATATAGCCCAGAGTAAAACAAGTTTACTAAAAAAAAAAAAAAAAAAATTATATGTACTACTGTATACAGGTAGAGTTAAGCCTTTATAGATTTCCTTAAATTTTAAAGAAAAGCAAAAGAATTTCATCAACATTTTCCTTCAAAAAATAAAATGCTACAGCTAAGAAACTCCTACTCTGCCCCCACATGCACAAAAATGGAATGCAAGGAACATGAAACGTCCAATGATGATGTCGGCCATTCTTACATTTTCTGTAAATTGCACTGATGGCTGCTCTTTAACCCTTATGCCCCGGGCATATTTAAAAAAAAAAAATATTCAGTCAAAAACTGCAATTTCTGGTTTAAATTAGTGCAATCACTCCAAGCATACTGTTGTGGCTGGCGTCCACATGGCCCCCTACATCCACAGTGCCCATGACCTTGCTGGCTGGGTGGGGAGGGGGAGTGAGCACCATTGCCTGTATCAATGTCCTTACCGCTGGCCACCTCAACAAACTCAACATTATCTGGGTCCGTTTCCTCCCCATCACCAGATACTATATCAATGTCACACAAATTAAGCAAGTCTTGATGACAAGCACCACTGTTAAAGATGTGGAAGAGTGAGGTGGGTCACCAGATGTCGTAGGACGTGGTTCCATCATAATAGGTGGTGGGTAACTGGACCACTAGACGTGAGACAAAGATTACGCGTGAATCGAGTTGCCAAGTATATAAATAATCTATACAAAGTACTTCGTCCTGCCTACTGTAGACATTCAAACTATGCCGCAAAAATTAAGGATGTAGAGGAACGTCACCCGGGGTCGCTATAGTGGATGTAGAGGAACGTCACCCGGGGTCGCTATAGTGGATGTAGAGGAGCGTCACCCGAGGTCGCTATAGTGGATGTAGAGGAACGTCACCCGGGGTCGCTATAGTGGATGTAGAGGAACGTCACCCGGGGTCACTATAGTGGTTGTAGAGAGGCGCACCGGGGATCGCTATAGTGATGTAGAGGAACGCCACCCGGGGTCGCTATAGTGGATGTAGAGGAACGTCACCGGGGATCGCTATAGTGGATGTAGAGGAACGTCCCGGGGTCACTATAGTGGTTGTAGAGGCGTCACCGGGGTCACTATAGTGGATGTAGAGGAACGTCCCGGGGTCACTATAGTGGTTGTAGAGAACGCCACCGGGATCGCTATAGTGGATGTAGAGGAACGCACCCGGGGTCACTATAGTGGTTGTAGGAACGCACCCGGTCGCTATAGTGGATGTAGAGCGCACCGGGATCGCTATAGTGGATGTAGAGGCGCACCGGGGTCACTATAGTGGTTGTAGAGGAACGTCACCCGGGGTCACTATAGTGGATGTAGAGGCGTCACCGGGGTCACTTAGTGGAGAAGGCGTCACCGGGGATCGCTATAGTGGATGTAGAGACCCGGGGTCACTATAGTGGTTGTAGAGCACCCGCTATAGTGATGTAGAGGACCGGGCGCTATAGTGGATGTGAGGAACGTCACCTGGGGGTCACTATAGTGGATGTAGAGAACGTCACCCGGGGTCACTATAGTGGATGTAGAGGAGGGGTCACTATAGTGGATGTAGAGGAACGCACCCCGTCGGGATCGCTATAGTGGATGTAGAGGAACATCACCCTATAGTGGATATAGAGGCGTCACCCGTGGATGTCACCCGCTATAGTGGATGTAGAGGCGCCACCCAGGGATCGCTATAGTGGATGTAGAGGAACATCACCCGGGTCACTATAGTGGATGTGAGACACCGGGGGATCGCTGTAGTGGATGTAGAGGAACGTCACCCGGGGATCGCTATAGTGGATGTAGAGGAACATCACCCAGGGTCGCTATAGTGGATGTAGAGGAACGTCACCCGGGGTCGCTATAGTGGATGTAGAGGAACGTCACCCGGGGGTCGCTATAGTGGATGTAGAGGAACGTCACCCGGGGGTCACTAAAGTGGATGTAGAGGAACGTCACCCAGGATCACTATAGTGGACGTAGAGGAACGTCACCCGGGGTCGCTATAGTGGATGTAGAGGAACTTCACCCAGGGGTCGCTATAGTGGATGTAGAGGAACATCACCCAGGCTTTAAGGGTTACCACCACCTTTTTGCTTTTAGAAACCAGACGAAGAGATATACAGTTCTTCAAAACAGGAAAAGAAACTGTTACGGTACATTATACCTTAATCCTGAAATATTAAATGCAAAATACAAGTACGTATCACTTGTTATAAGAATGGGTAGTTCTTTGAAAACCATTTAACCCTTTCAACGCGTGTCACGCACTTGCCATTTTATTTTGGCAACCGCCAGACGATTTTATTCAGCTTAGGGTAACCTCTTGCTGTGAAAGGGTTAAGTAAATATTCATTATCAAATAAAATAACATAAGGGAGAAATAGGATACAGTTCCCCCAATGACAAGAAAACAACAATATCATAACCCCCCAATGCAGATCTCAAACAAAAAGCTACCATACTATTGTAAAATAATACTAACTAGTGTAATTTAATACCAAATTACAGTATTGTAGTTTAGAGCTGTACCTAACTACAGTAGTGTAATATAATACTAAATTACAGTATTGTAGATTAGAGCCTAACACTTTAAAAAATTAATAAAATGTATATTTGGTATATCACCTTAAGGAACCATATTCATATATGCCAGAATAGCTTTTGTGTAGTGAGAAGAAGGTGGTAGAATAGAACATTTGTACAGCATTGTACTGTGAAAGCATATATGTATTTGTAAAGTGAACATTTGTATAGCGAGGGATACCTATAATGCATTCCTCCTCCTCATCAGATTACTTTAACTCAAGAAATAGAAAACTGGATGGATTATATTTTGCAAATACTGTACAGGCATTCCCTGATTTATGAAAGGGTTCTGTTCCTGAACAATATTTTGTATATCGGATGACATTTTCCCATTATAAAAGCCGAAATACATTCGTACTAAAAAAAATACTACCACAAAATATTAAAAATGTCACAATACCGGGTATGTGTTTTAACCCCTATGCCCCGGGCTAGGGTACCGCTGGTCGTATCCCCCACTTGGGGTAAACCGAGAAAAATCAACTTTTCCAAAAATAATTTTTAACCTTTTTAAATGATAAAACAATAAAAAGAAGTAAGAAACACTATATATTGAACCTCTATAAACTTCCCTGGGCCACAGTGGCGAGGGAGATAAGGGAAAAGTGTTGTTTTGACGGCTAGCACTCGTGGTCATGACGTACTTAGCAGCCACTTTTAGCTTGCCTTTGAGTCCAGGAAGGCCAGTAATGCATATATTTACTGATCATAATACTTATTTCCTATAAATAATTCATTTAGAATATTTTATTTGCAATATTTTTCATAAAAAGTGCTTGGCAACACACTGCAGTCTGCCACCAGGCTGTCTTTATGTTTCATAGAGCAAGTAATGCATACAAATAATTATCAGAATAATAATTCCACAAATAAATACATTTATAACATAATCATAGCATTATTTTCCAGTAATACTACACTACAATACAACTACACCACTTTTAGCAATATTACTTTGATACAACATGATAAAATGGACAAACAATGAAAACGAAAAAAACAAAAGTAGGTACTTACATTCCAGAAGCTTCCCTGTGGCCGAGTGAGTGGCGTGACATGTCAATAATCACTCTGGAACCTGATAACACGCGTTGGACATTCAAACAATGTCGCGAAAAGGCGCACGTTCCTGAACGTCAACCGGGGCGTAAGGGTAAATTAAATATTTTGATGTACACGATTATGAGCAAATTACGGTACAAACAATGAGGGAAATATGTGCAGTACTGTGCAGTGCAGTAATGCTGTAATTTTATACCTATACTGTACTGTACTTATGAGAAACCAGATGAGATCTGAAACAAACTGAACAGTATGAAAAGTAAAGCAAAAGTGTCAATAATAAATATATTACTGTAGTAATACTGTACAATGACCCCTGATGAGATAGTATGGAACCGCAAAACTACATATTTACTACTGTACTATGATAACATTTGCAGTAAAATGTAGAGATGTGTATGATCATGGACAGTAAGGAAGAACAGTTTATTAAAGGTACAGTACACAAGTCCTACATGAAAAAAAAATGAATGTACTGTATTAAAATGTTACTCAGGAGTTACTGACAACAAAGGCAATCTCAATAAGATACCAAACGATACAAAGTAAAAATTGAGCACTGTACACAGACAGGATTGTAGAAAACATGGAAAACTGAATACTGTACTGTATTAATTTTAGCATACTGCTTCACCTCTAAAGAGAATGATTGTTGAGCATCTACTACCACACACTTGTAATTATATATGAATGGAATTAAAGATAATGGAACTGTTATTAAAAGTAATAATTAACAGTAATAAAAAATTGCTTCAGAATAAGTTTGACAATATTTATACCAAACATTACTGTGAATTTACACTTTATATAATGAAATGCAGCTTTGATTACAGGAGTCATGTCTGTACTGTACATCCTATACCTGTTTCAGTTTTGGAAGATGTAACACTTGAAACAGAAATACTATAGCACCTTACTCATGAGTGGATTATGTGCTTTCCTAATACAGTACCCCTACATTTTTTCAGGAACACAGAGAATCAATGTAATCTTACATTTTAATGAGAATTGTTCTGACAAACTCTTATTCACAATACATTACAGTATATGGGTTATATACATATCAGCTAACAAAAAATATACATCCATAGTCTGCTCCATGACAAAGAATTTTGCCCAAGTCAAGATTTGCCGTGGAGAAGTGGCTCATATCACCTGTACAAGATTGTTCAGATACTCCTAAGTCGCACAGTAAAACCACTTATATTATGAAAAGATCCGAGTTCATATTTCCAATGACATTTAAATTTATTCCTCATCTTATAATAAAAGCCTGCGACCTTTAGAGTGGCATGCAATATATAACAGTGCTCTCCAAGTAAACTGCATAACATTAGTCCAACATACTGTATTGTAATGCACTGCCGCAAATCTCTTCTAATAACAGCTGAAAACTGTGCCCTGATTTATTAATATTCAAAAGCATTTTTAAATTTTGTTAAGAGGAAACTTTCAGAGTTACTAGCCCATTTTGATGGTCGTCTGTGACATCATATTGCCATTGATGACATCATATTGGCCCATTTGGTGGATGTGTGGCATGTATCAGTGAATGTCTGCTGTCCATTTCTAACTTGCCTGTCAACACTGGCGAGATAAACTGTTTTCATCTCACCTGTCCAGAGGGAAAGCAATGGTGCCCATCCGTATGTTCTTGAAATTAGTCAAAGAATTACCTGTACAGTACTGTACATTAAAAATGTATTCAAATAATGAAATTCAACTTATACAGGTATATGTAAAAAAAAAAAAAAAAAATAGAATGCAGTACTGTACTGTATATGCAGAGCAAATATTCACATTGGATATAAAAATATAAAAAATTATAATACTGTATACATATTTTGAAGGTAAGGCAACACTGCACAAAAGGCATGTTTTATTGAATTTTTTTTTACTCTTCTTTCTCAAGGTAAAATTGTACAGTATTAATTGTCTGTAGAAATTAGTTTTAACCCAACCTAAGCTTAATAATAAAATTATAACTAACTACGCCCCGGGTGACGTTTCAAATCGCCTGATCGGTGCTCCCCGGGCAAAGTTCCAGAACGCGCACCTTTTCCCGCCACGATTTAAATGCCCAACGCGGGTTATCAGGTTCCAGTGTGACTATTTGCCTGTTACGCCACATGCTCGGCTACAGGGAAGCTTCCTGAACGTAATTACCTACTTTTATTTGTTTCATTTTCATTGTTTGTCCATTTTATCAGTAGTGCAGTTGTATTGTAGTGTAGTATTACTGGAAAATAATGTTATGGTTATGTTATAAATGTATTTATTTGTGGAATTATTATTGATAATTATTTCTAGGCATTACTTGCTCTACCAAACACAAAGACATTCAGACAGCTTGGCGACATACTGCGTGTGTCGCCGGGCACTTTTTATGAAAAATAATGCAAATAAAATCAATTCTAAATGAATTATTTATAGGAAATAAGTATTATGATAAGTAAATATATGCATTACTGGCCATCTCAGACACAAAGGCAAGCTAATAATAGCTGGTAAGTGCGTAGGTGACCACGAACGCTCGCCATCATAACAAGCTCCCCCTTATCTTCCTCCATGCTGCCAAGGAATTTTCTAGAGGGTCAATATATACTTTTTTTACTATTGTTTATTGTTTTATCACTTAAAAAGGTAAAAAATTATGTTTGGAAAAGTTGATTTTTCTCGATTTACCCCGCGTGGGGGATGCGGCCAGCAGCACCCTAACCCAGGGCTTAAGGGTTTAGCATCTAAATTCAACACAGTTAAGAGCCCAACCTTACTGTGAGGAAGAAAGCAGAGCGAAGGTTATCATCATTATCCATGTTTGTTACACTTCAACTCCACCATCTGAACGTACCACCATTTTCACGCCGCCATCAATGGCTATACTATGTCACAGACAGCCATCAAAACAGACTAGGGTGAACCTGAGCTTTAAGATGCTATTATCTCTATCAAGGCTTCTGTGCTCAGTCTGCTAAGAATAATTTACTAGAGGATAATGCCTTAAAGCCAACTACGTACATCACAAAGTTCATAATATACAAACTGCTTATTAAAGCCTGCATTAAAAAAACAGCAAAAAACTACTACAGTCCTTTTAATCTCAGAAGTGTACAGTATAATATCATTACAGTAAAGGGTGCACATGTGGAATGTTAAGAGACTAGGTGGCTGCAGCTTCCATGCAACTGACCTGGATGGAATTTAAATGATCCTAGGCATTTTTAGTGACCTGATAACTGTTTCGTCAAGAAAATTTTCATTGCACTAAATGTTATTTTAAACCCTAATGAGTTAACATTCGAAAACCCATAAATTATATATACTTTCATGAACTAAAGTGAAGTGTTTCTCCAATGGATAAATCCAAACCCTGAATTTACACAGAGGATTACACAATTCTCATACTACTGGCCAATGGTGAGTTTGCAAACATTCCATAGACAACAGCTTTCTCACTCTGCTTTACTAATTATCTAGGTTATCAATTCATGTACTCTATGGTACCAAAACAAAAAAATTAAACAAGAAAGCACAGACCGATTCACACACTCACATGACAGTAATTGAGTCTGTACAGCCATGAGCAATAGATGTGCGACTCTCTCTCACCCCACATAGTTGTTCCACCTGCCGATGTGAAGTGGAACCTCCTTTATACTCATCAAACAATTTTAAGAGTAACTAGAATTAAAATACTTCCCAATGTAAAGTAGATTCCACAGTCACTGTCAGGGAGAATATACAGTGAGTGTGTGTTGCACGACTATTGCTCCTGACTGTACATATCAGTAAATTATACTGATCCCTACATCACAAACAACTTTTATGGCCTGCAATTACTAACTTATTTACATCTGCCAGCTCTGACCCACTTATGGCAGTCAAGTAGATAAAAAAGGTTTCGTTTAGTACAAAATAGTTTTTAAAACTGTAATTATTTTTCCTTGAATTTGGAACATCAATGTCCAAGTCACCTTTGACTGTTCTCTAGATTAAAACAACATGAACAAGAATATGAAATTGTTGGGAAATTAAAATATTTGCTTTAGAGTCAAAACTAACGAACAGACATAACTAAGCTTCAAGAGCAGTCGTGTAAACACAGCCACAACCTCTATAAAATCATTCACTATAATTCAGAAATCGTTCACAACATTTGCATTCCATTAATCTTGATTGGAAATATTCTTGTATATGATAACATCAGCAAATATCGATTTAAAAAGAATTAATGTAATATCTTCTCTGAAAAGGAAAAATTATATGCACAGTCAGCAAAAAATTTGTCAAATGTTCTAAGCATCGTACAATATGACAATGAGTGAGAAATCTGAAAACTGCCCTGATGAAGTTTTATTGCAAATTAAATTGCTTCTTTTCACCTGCAAATACTACAACGACAAGCAACATATTATTAAAAAAAAATTTAGTCACCTTGTAACCAGGCATACCAACCATTTGAGATTACAAAAACTATAGTGCCCTGCCCATTCTGAAATCTATCATGCCCAGCTGTTCAAGAAATTTTTTTGCTGATTGTACACACAAAGGCGAGTGTGCGCACATCCTTCACCAAGTGTTTTGCACTCGTCTTATACAAAACTTTTCAATGTTTTGTAAATAAGATTATTAGCTCATAAACAGTAAAGAATTTAACTTCTCAATACACCCAACCCACCTCAGTAAGAATCAAATCAGTTTGTATAATCTTCTCTTTGACCATGAGCTGAGAATCTGGCCAATTTTAATTTTTAAGCTTCATGGGGCAAGTAACAAATCTTAGGTTGGCAATTATGATATTCAAGAGAGTTGACATTACACACCCTGCTTCAATATGTCTGAAGCCGCATTTTATATTTAAACAAAGTTAAAATGCGTGGTCATATTTTTATTTATACATGATCTAATGTGTTGGCATCAGAATGTGAAAACCAAATGCTGCAGAAGGTAGCTGTCAGCATCACATTTTTACACCTTTCCTTTGACACTAATAATTTCAAAGCAACTTTATTTACTTTACATAGGATACAACATCTTTTTGCTACACATTTTGTGGGCTATGACATCCTTTAGTGTTTGTTTGAACTTCACATGTCATCAATATACTCATTCATGAAGAGTTACATTATAGGAGTACCGTAATACAATCAGGAACCTCCACAGGCATTACTGTACTGTAAACTTATTTACTGTTGTAAGTAACGGTCTTCATTATATTGGTAAAACATTAATTATTGAATCCATATCATACAGAATTCAATGATGTATCCATGATGTCAGCTAGCAGCATTCTGTTTCTAAGAATATTGTACATATGTATTATTGAATCAAACAATTAATTTTATACGAGACCCAGCAGAATAGCTTGCTGTTCTCAACAATATATCCTGTTTAGTAAACTGGTTTTAAAATAATCTATAACATAATAGGTTCTTTTCTATATTTTTTGTATCCTACTTATAAAAAAATTCTTCATAACTACCAATGCTCAACAAAACTTATTTACTGAACACATCCCATTTAAATTCTTCCTCATAACTTCACTAACAATACTCAACACAAGATTAGTAGCAAGAAACAATATTCTTTGAGAATGGTCATAGAAATGGCAGGATCTTTTAAAAAAAATTCCCTACAAGAAAACTAAATACTGTACATGTACAGTAATTTTAAACTGAAGCACACTAATGGTGTACTTTAGTTTAAAAGCTTTAATGTATTTGTCATTTACAGAACACTATACAGCAGTGATTCACATACAATAGTGATTAATATAAAAGATACAGTGCTTACACCTTGATGCTACTACATTGTAATTAAGTTGATAACCACTTAAACGACTGGATTAATCTCAAAATTGTCAATGCAACCAAACTGATATTCAACCAATTAAAGTCCAATTACAGATCAGCCTTTTGACTATATAAGCACTATCTTTGTCTAATTCTTTCAAGTATGAGTGAACAAATAAACTAAATATCCAACTTCCTACACTCTAACATGCTACTTCCAGCTTTCTAATTAAAGTGGATCATGAGTATTCTAAAGTTTTAGTCCAGATGTCCATCTACATTTCTCAACTTATCTATAATCCTTATAAAAATTGATATCCAACTATAACTGAAAAAGTAAGCATGTGTTGCACAAGGTTCCCTTAAAAATAAAGATCTTTAATCTATAATATTACATCCAATTTTATCACAGTAATCAGGGACAGATCTAAGAATATAAAAAAAGGGAGGATCCAAGAAGTTGTGGGTGGGGGGGACATGGCGAGCACAGTAAGCCCAGCCGGTTGTGTGTGTGTGTGTGTGTGTGGGTGGGGGGGGGGGTGCTTGCAGACACCCCCTCCCCCAGATTTTTTTATTAATTTTTTTTTAAATCTGACCAATATCATGGGCATTCTGAGTCCATTTGAAACCATGTGCACTTGACATTAGGAGATATTCTAAAGTCAAAAGTAATTACATTTTACTATACAAAAATGCTTGAGTACAATACCTTAATAAAGAAAAAGTACCCCGGTACTGGAAATTTTCTAATGAAAAAGGGAAATCTGGAACCCCCCCTGGATCCGCCTCTGGTAATAAGAAAATGGGTCAATGGGTCCTGGTAATTAATAGTCATATTTTGGGCTTAAAGTTCCTTTTAAGTCCAATTTAACAACAGGAATCGTACCTAATATGCACAGTCATGTGAATGACTTAATATACATACCCTAAACTTAGCCCCATTGCCACAATTGAGTATTACTAACTCTATTGTCTTCATAAAGACTAGTTAATAGCTACTATTTTTTCCATTTTTATCTGTGGCAGTATGAACAATTTCAATATTTCCTTTGACTAGGCTTATTTATATACAAAGCAATGTAAAATCTTGTTAATGTTAAGGATGAAAGGACATTCACAAGAAACTCACTTCTAAACTGTTACAGTATACAGTATCAATATAAAGGGGCATAACAATGGACAAAATTTCTGCCATTCTCAGTCAAAAGTATGGCTTTTCTAATCACATGCTCAGTTGTAGCACTGTTCACATATCACTGTTATTAAGAATGAAACAATAACTAAGATGGTGGGTCATCCAAAAGTGTTGTCGTTTCAAGCTTCTCTCAAGATATCAACAGGGGAAGTTTCAGAGTCGTGTGTCCAAATAATTTGTGAAGCTTGAGAATCCATGCTGGCCATACTCAATGGATGTAAACAAAAGTGAAATGAAATGTTGTCCGTAATTTTCATTTGTATGTATGAAAAATATTTTAATGATGATATACAAGTACACTGTATTTGCATTCAAAGCACTTAAAAGTGTTTACTAATAATTATGTTTTACAAACTACAGTAATTACCTTTCAATTTAAATACCATAAAACCTCAGATGAACCCAAAATTCAATTAAAACTTGCCCAAGAACTCAAATTCTTTCCATTTTTATCTGATCTCGGTTTTAGGGGGGGAAAAAATGGCCGAGAACGGTGACATTGCCGTGTTTCTGCTGAGGAATGCGGAATTTTGCCCAGTATGAAAGCCTCTTTAAGGATATTTGAATTCCATCATACTAGACAATTCTGCTCAAACAAAGCATAAAATTTTGTACAGTTGGTCAGAGTGTTTAACACTTTTCATACACACCATTAACTCACAAGGTGGGCATAATGTTTGTGTGAATCCTTAGGCAATACGCTTGTGTTTTAGTTTTGGAAGCCTGATATCTAATAATGGAGGTTTCTTTTGTGATTTATAGGATGTTATTACTAACTAGGAAATTCATACAGGAAGATAGTTAAATGCCCTGGCCTACTGTACAGCACTGGGTTAAATGTTTATGATCATATGATCATAATTATTCAATTATAAATATAATTTCAGATGAACCGTACACGTATTAATAAAAAGGTAAAGCTTTCATGCTGAAAATACACCAACACTAGTCTTAGTCCTCTGCACAACATTATGTACTCTAATGCTTGTGTACTTTTTTTAAATCTCTATCACCATTGTATACATTTCTAAACAAATAATAAATGAAACCTCAGACAAAACATCCTTATGTACTTTGTAAAGTAACTTTTACCAACAATATAATTCTCAATTATTTGAAGCCAACTGTGGCTCCACAAATCTACTGGTCAGAGAATTTGTCATACAACTGAATTTTCCACAGGTTCAATTACTGAGTGGAGTGAAGAATTAGGTTCCATCTATGCACTTGGCAATAAAGTGAGTAAGGTATTTGGTACATGTATTAATGGTGAAACAATCCTTCAATAAACCAACATCTTACTTCGGGAACTGGGTAACCCTTAAGCTGCCAAATGATAGTAGGACAACTCTGGTGAACTGGTATCATATCAGGGAACTTGGGTAACCCTAAAGCTTCGGAATGCCAAGAAATTTTCTAAACATAATATTAAATATATTTGATATTATATATAAAATTTTGAAGGAAACGTTAATGCCACACACTTGGTGTGTTTCACGTCCAAGATTTCTGAAGAACATTTTGCATGCAAACAATGAATTACCAGTAGGTTGATACGGATCAGACCTATAAGAAACAGATATGTATGCCTGAGTCAATAACTGCTGCTGATGAAGGTTAGTTATCCATCAGGAAACATCATGAGATCAATCTTCAAGTTTGATAACTCACGCATTAGAGGTACAAAATTCTACAAACAACACTCGGTTGATTGGTCCGTCAGTTAATGATGTAAATATTCTATGTTGGTTCACTCCTTCAGCTTAAAGAAGGATATTGGCAGCAGTGAGTGCAGCAGCTAAGAGTGTGAGCACATGTGGTAGTAGGTACTGGGTGGGAGACATACCCGTACCCTGATAGGCACTGCTTGTCTGCCAACATGGAGTCACCTTTAAAACCTGTGTGATCAGTGAGTCCAGAATGTTTGATGGTGTAGGATCACTGCACTTCATTGTGTTCTTCACAACACAGTGGTGCATGGAATTCACCTTTCTGAAAATCCAGAGCATTTTCTAGTCAGTGATGCCATTATATCCTAAAAATGTAGTACCTGTAGAACATTTAAATGGTCATTTAATAAAACTGTACTGTACTTTAACCCAAGGAGAAAGGAAATAAATAATTGTACTCAAAAATACACTCAAACTCTCTATTCCCCCTTCACTAATTCACACTAATTACACTGGTCAAAAAATTTCAACTTTTTATCTGGTTAAGAAACAAAAATACTCTTTAGTACATTTAAGTATGCTGAGTATGAATCTAAACTTAGTTTTACTCTACCATGTTTAGTTTTTTATAGAAAATTTTAAAATATTGTCTTATATATTGTATTTGTGTAAATTACATAAGCAGAGTCTGAGTGGTTTTAGAAAAATACAACCATTTTTATTCAATTAAAACATATTCTTCCTGAATTTCCATTCAGGAGAACTTCACCTGTCTAACTTCCCATGAAAATATCTTTCTTCAGTTTGGGAATTTCTGACCAAGATACTAGAAACCTTCACTGTCTTTAAGTAATACTGTACTGTACCATAATCTCCATCAGCCCCCCCCCCCCAAAAAGCCACTTTTTCGGAATAGCCTTCCCCAAAAATTTATCATACCTTGCGATCCCACCACAGAAACAGAATTCTTCCACCACTAGCAGCAAGCACAAACAAATCACAAGGCTTTGGCTGTCTGTATAACATTTTAGAATAAAAATTATTCGTCTTGGAAATTATTCAACGTCTGGGCAGCTCTATGTTGTACGCAAGTTTCCATATTAATTCCTGCATAATTAAAATCCACGACTATCACGGTATGATTTCTGCAGATTATTTCTAATTACTATACAGTGGTCCCTTGGTTAACGAACACAACTCGTTCCACAGAGTCACCGAATCCATTGTTTCAATGGGATATTGGGTATGTAATTGGTTCCAGCTCACCGAAAAGTACATACAAAGTAAAAAAAATGCAATAAAGTACACTTAATTTGAGGTGTGTATGTAGAAGGTTCCTGATTGATGATGATGATGGGAATTAACAAAATAGATGTTCACTCCACTGTCAACAAAGCCAAACTGACGCCTGGTGGGTGAATCAAGCGGCTGATGGGCGCACAAAATACTAGTTCCCTGTACTGCATATATTGATTATCAATATGTTAACTAAATCTTAAAATGACCAATAATTTTAATATAAAAATTGCAAAAATATTAAAGAGCACAACTTTCTTGATATTTACTCCACTGGAAACAAATGTAAACATAGAACAGATTACTGAAATGGCAGATTAGCCCATCAGCTGATGCTCACAACAAAATGTGTTGTTGGCAAGGATTTTGTAAATCAAAGTTTTGTTCGTTAACCGAATTGGAGATCCTTATGGGAGGTAATTCGCTAACTGAAATTTTGTTAATCGAACCGTTAGTTAACCGAGGGACCACTGTACTTACGTAACTAAAGCAGTTTGGAGGATATTGATGCGTTTGCTTCCAACCACAACAACCGAAGTATCACATTGCTACAACTTTTGTTTTCAGTTACCCTGAGCCTTTCATTTGAGAGTAGAATGAATATATTATATTCATGCTGTATTTAAGTTAATTCAAATTTCTGTCATTTTTATGTCAAATAAATTTCTTCTTCATTATTTTGATGGCTTGCGTATTGATGTAATTTCATTATGTAATTTTTGTTCTTGTTCTTTTGTATGTACAATTGCATGGTTTCTCAATTTTATGTAAAGTGTCAATAAATGCATCATCAGAAAACTGCTATTTTTATTGATACAGTGGTCCCTCGGTTAACGAGCACAATCCGTTCCAGCAGGTTGCTTGTTAACCGAAACCATTGTTTCAATGGGTTTTTGGGTAATTGGTTCCAGCTCACCGAAAATTGCCTAAATTCAACAAAAAAAGGTAGAAAAGTACACTTACTTTGAGGTGTGTATGTAGAAGGCTCCTGGATGATCATGATGATGGGAATTAGAATGGGGGTGGAGGAGAAGAGAAGGCATTGGGGTGGAAGAGAAGTCACCCCAAGGCACCATTTCACCCATAAAATTTTAGTTCTCTTTGTGTAATTCAAGATTATTTTCTTTAAATCAACACTGCACTGCATTATATATTGTCAATATGTAAAATAAATTTCAAAATGACCAATAATTTGCTTGGAAATACAGAAAAAAAGCATTTAGTTGAAGAGAGTCTCAAGCAAGATGTTACCTCCACTGAAAACAGAGAGAGACTAACGCCTGTCTGGTGTGTTAACAGGCTGGATGGCACGCCAGAAACTAGTTTCTTTACCTTCAATTATGTTCAATAATTTTTAAAATGACTAAAAAATTTAATATTAAACTTTTAAAATTATTGAATAGTATAAACTTCTTGATATTTACTAAAATAGTAAGGAATTTAAGGCCTAAAACCAATTACTGTATTGGCGGACTAATACTACAGCTGGTGGACCGCCAAATGCAAGCGAAAACATGTTGAAGTCGGCTCGTAAAAACTCGTTAATCGAGGGATTGCTCGTTAACCGAAGTTAAGAATCTTATGGAAGGTAAATCGTTAACCGAAATCTCGTTAACCGAGGCGCTCGTTAACCGAGGGATCACTGTATGTAATATACATTCTAAGTAAAAATAGTGTGCTTGCTCTGCAAACGCAGCTTTGAGACAAGTCCCCTAGCCCCCTCTTCCAACCAGATTGCCACCCCTAAGCCCCTCCTATATAGAAATTCTGGAGCCGCCACTGTGTGTGTAAGAAATATGTTTTTTTGTTTTTTTTACCTTACAGTGAGAGGCCATCATTAAAATTCACTTTGCACTCTGCTTTAGTGACTGTGACGTTCTTTCACTCTGACTATGAAGTCCTTTCGCTCTGATCCCCCACCCTAACAATGGGTTACCTGACATTGCATCAGAAGGTCAGTAAATGGAGACCACTAATCCATCCACCCCACCTCCACTGCAAACGACAGAAGAGTTTATGTACAATGGGTGGACCAGACATTGGATCAGGTCAGGTTACTAACACGAGACCTACTAAGCCTCTACCACACATCCATCACAAGTGTTAACAAACAGCTCGAGTCAGTCCATGTGAGATGGTCGCTGCAACTCAGGAAAACAGTGAAGAATTTCACTGTGACATTCTTGAGGTGCCTCTCATGTGTCTCATATAAATTTTTATTTTTTTTAATTACAGTACAGTATATTTATTAAACCAAACTTTTAGATAATTACTCAGGATTATTTTAGTATAAAATGGTGTTTCTAACATAATTAGAATTGCTGAACTATCTTTCTCTGGACTAGTGCACATTATGAACTACCTGAGTAACAGGAGGAAAGTGGAAAGGTTAACTGGCATTGATGCATCATGACATTGAAATAGATTTACAGGTCATTTGTTGACATGTTTGTCCAGAACACCAGCAGAATGCTCTTCACAAAACAAATCCTCTTTGAATAATGTACAGTCATGCGCCGGTTAACGTCCAACCGAACAACGTCCGATCACATATACGTCCGTGGCCCATGAAAAAAAAAAACCCTCACACAACCACCAACACTTCCTTCACACCAACATCTCCCTCACACCAACACCTCCCTCACACCAACACCCACACCTCCCTCACACCACCACTAACATCTCCTCGCACCAACACCCACACCTCCCTCACACCACCAACACCACCACTAACATCTCCCTCACACCACCCCACCTCCCTCCCACACACACCTCCCTCAACACCAACACCCCTCCCTCACACCACCACCACCTCCCTCACATCAACACCTCCTTCACACCACCACTTACACCTCCCTCAACAACAACACCCACACCTCCCTCACACCACCACCACACCTCCCTCACATCAACACCACCTTCACACCACCACCAACACCTCCCTCACACCAACACTCACACCATCCTCAAACCACCACCAACACCTCCCTCACATCACCACTAACACCTCCCTCACAGCACCACCAACACCTCCTTCACACCACCATCGACACCTCCCTCACCCCGGTCACTTCTATTAAATTTTATAAGCAAAAAAACAAAAACTCAACCTAAAGGACATAAATGAACAATTAAATACTTCACACCACAGGCACCAACTGTCAAACATGTCAGTCACCCCTCCCTCCCTCCCTCCCTCCCAACCCCCCTCCTCCTCCCAGCGAAGGTTTCTGGTTATACAATAGGCTTTAAGTTTGTATCTTATATAAAATCACAGACTAAAGTTGGGAGAATATAATTTGCATTGCTGGAATCCTTGCAAGACAGCTGATAATTTATATATAAACGTCATATATTTTTCACAAACGATAAAAATTTTGCTCTCGAATAAAATTCTTAAATTAGATCTAAAATTTGTATGTCTAATGCAAATTATAGCTTGTTTATATTCAAATTAATCGCAGTCTTTTGGGGATTCCAGCAATATAAATTATATTCTCCCCGGTCACTTCTATAAAATTTTATGAGCAAAAAACAAAAACTGATTTAAACATAAATAAACAAACAAATACTTCCCCAGACCTTTGCATTAACTGTCAAAGTACACCCCTACTTCCCGCTCCCCCCTCCCCACCATGCACGCTCCCTCTCCCCCATCTGCCCAGCCAGGGTTATTATCTTATATAATACAGTATCTCAGACTAAAGGAGAATATAATTTGCATTGCTGGAGTCCTTGCAAGACAGTGAGTAATTTGAATATAAATGTCATATATTTTGCACAAGAGATAAAAAATTTTGCTCTCTGTAATAAAATTCTTAAATTAGATCTAAAATTTGTATGTCTAATGCAAATTATAGCTTGTTTATATTCAAATTGGTCGCTGTCTTGTGAGAATTCCAGCAATGTTAATTATATTCTCCCAGGTTATTTCACTGGCATTTTAAAATGAGAGAAGCTTACTGTAGTAGGACTGTTAAATAAACACACAGAGACCTTCGGCTCAAACTGTCAAACATATCACCT